ACATACATACATACATACATACATATGCCTGTACATACATATACATACATATACATACATATACATACATATACATGCACATACACATAGACATTCATATACATACCTATACATACCTATACATACCTATACATACCTATACATACATATACATACATATACATAAGATTATGCATATACGTCTACAGGGCCCAAGTGACCCAGCAGCGGGTCTCTTGAAGGCTCCATGTGCCGCATGCAATGGCCGTTCTGCGGAAGACAATACGCCCGTGAGCTCCAGTAGGACGGAGGGCGGTGCGTCTTGCAAAACGTCGCCGTTACGCTGCAGGACAATGAGGCCTACATCACACGCTTCGTCAAGATGGACCGCAATTCGCCAGACAAGCACGTCGTCTTCATGACATGTTCTGGCAGTGTACTGTGCTGCATAAACATGTGGACGGACAACTCCGGTGATGACGTTCATCTTCAAATCTTGAAGCGCTTGCGGCCAAAGGGATGGCGCTTGACGAGTAGCATTGTCTACCAACCTGTGAGGCCGAGTCTTTCCCTGGAAGAAGTACCGGAGAGCTTGGTCGCCACACTACCGGAAGACCCTTCTGTCCTGACCCCACTGTGTTGGCGCAAGTTGAATGCCGCCACCGGAGTTGGCAGCATCTGGCGGCCCTGCAACGCCATGTTGAAGCCGGGCGGGCCCTTGTGGTGATGGGAAGGCTAGTCCGACGTGGAGCCGTGGTCAACGACCCAAGTGTGTCGGACTCGGTGTCGCAAGATAACAATGTTGAGTGAGCGCTGTCCCACATTGGTAGCGCAGTGGAGCTTAAATTGCCGCACTGCACTTTGGTGCTAGACACTCGTGCTTTCGTCGTTACGGTGCGGGTTGCCTGTCCCCTGATCTCGCATACACTAGTCACTGTGCGGGATCGCACGGGGCTTGGTCGCGTAGTTTGTTTGGTGCTGTGATCGCCGACTAACTACGGAACACAAGGCATCTTTCTTTCCGAGTTGAATCTATTGCATTGCAAAGTCCCTTGCTGTGGAAGCCAATCGCCACGTCACCCCATGTTTGGCTCAATAGCCCAATGTCCTAGCTTGCACGATGCTTGATGTGTTCCTCGATCACGCTTGGCGAAGTAGTTAGTGTGATTTTGTGGCAAGATGTGACTCAAAGGCTTTCGGTTTTTACGTGTTGCTGTGCAGCTGGCCGGGTCTACAGCGGTTTGCCTTCCCTGCCTCAACCCTGACGTGCCAGATTGCTGCTCAGCTTGTGTCTAACATCGGCTCGTGCATACTGGCAGAGTTTGCAAGCTTTATCATGCCGCGAACTCCTCTAAATATACTCATACATACAAACATGCATATACGCATGCATGTGCATACACATATACATGTACATCTGCATATACACATATATGCTACCCCCCCGAAGGATCCACCGCTTCAGCCGTGTATTGAGCCAGAAGCAACTGATTCAGAAGACTGTGAGGCAAACGAAGAACAAGTGTTACGCGATGCGGATACCTATGATGCTCTGGTTCATGCTTAACAAGGTGGTGCACGAATGCTTTAAGCTTGAAAAAATTAGAGAGTCTTGGCCCAGGTCTCCAGTGGAAGACTTCGAAGGCTTCCCCACAACCCAGACCCTAAACCCTAACTATGAAACCGTAAGGACACAACCGAAAACCACCGACCCACCACAACCACAAAACTCAAGAACGGGCGCCCTTTCATCGGCTGACGAACACGTGTGCCTTCGGCGGTTGCGTCTGAAGACTGCGCACACACTGGGATTGACACTGCTTAGGAAGAAAGTTTATTCTTCCTCTCTCTATCCCTGCAGAAAAGACAGATCGAGAGGCGAACGAGCTTGGCTCCACCATTTGTCGCAGCAGACAGGCTTAGTCAGCACATCAGCGAACTGCAGGTGCGTCGGCAACCAGTGAAGTGGAGCTCTGCCGTGTTGGCCTTCTTGTTGCAGTGCCTCCCTAAGAGCTGCTAAATCAATAGCCAGACGTTTATCTGTCGGCACCCGTGGGATGCCCTCCTTGTGGATATGATCAAACAAGCTCTTGCAGTCAATTAAGCACGAGAGACCAGACCCATGAAGATCTTCGACTCTGACAATCCTGCCCTTGATGATGGAGTTAATGAAGGATCGTACATATTGCGCCATTTCTACCCCTTCAGTACAAGCAAGTGTTTCGGCACCGAAGGTGGATCTACATATGCGCTTGGCTGTAGAGGATTTCCACTCCAAAATGCTAGAGCACTTTTGTCCGTTTCTGCTGTCCTGGTCGGTCACCATAACCAACAGCCCATACTGGCTCGCCGCATGCGAGGACGCTCGTTTGGCCTTGCGGATTTGGTTCTATTCTGGTACATCGGAAATGAAGCCGAGCTTGTGGTCCTCGGGGGTAAGGCTAAAGCCGTCCTCGCCCGCGAGGGAAAACGGCAAAGCATTGGCCCAAGCAGCATCATGGAACGTGACCACCTGCAGCGTGTCGAGGTCGAGCGGGTAGAGGTGGATGCCTTTGTCCTGATGCTTGAGGGCTCTCGCGGAAGCCTCATTAGAGAACCGAATATTGGCCACTGAAGGTCTTTGCTGCATCTGTTGTGCCAATGATACAGAAGCCAACAAATCTGGCCTTGTCTGTCCGGCCAGCCAGCTGAGTCCGCCGATCAAGCTGCGGTTGTCGACACATTGCTCAAACGTCGCCATGTCGACGTCCTTCTGGTGCTTCTCGATGGGGATCTGAAACAGTCTGCTCGCCGCATAAGCACTTTGAGAAGGGGAAGCGCCATCGCAGCCGACCTTCACATGGGAACCGATGTACTCGAAGTCGTTGATCTCCCAGCTGTCGATAGGAAGCTTCGAGCTGAGGCATTCGCGGAAAACTTCATCTAGTCCTTCAGGGCCCACGACTAAGAGACTAAGAGGTCATCGACATGTATGGCCACGTAGGCTTGTGGCTCTCCTGCCTTCGTGTCACCGATCACTTCGCACAGGCCGAAGATGCAAGGGTCAAGCGTGACTGGCAAAGGACGTATTCCTTGCCCAAGTAGGGTACCAGTAGCTCCTTGAGAATCCCGCGGACCTCTTCCCACCATGTTCTCGGGGAATCTACTAGCCCGAACACGCCTTTGTCTATTCTGAACAAAGCACCTTCTTCCATGCCATCGACTCCGGTGCGAGCTTGTTGAAGATATAACAGACGCTGTAGAGGAGGCCCGTTGAGAAAGGCGGCGGTGACGTGCGTCCGCCTCTGTGACTCGCCACCAGCTGAAGCAAAGTGTGGACTCCCAGCCTGGAAACAGTAGGAGCGTCGGTGGGCATGAGACCTATGTCGGGGTGTCTATGCCCACCGACGACTAGTCAACTAGTCTTGCCTTCGCCTTGCAAGGTGTATCCGGCTGTAGGCGCCTCCTCGCGTAGTGTTTATCTTTATACGCCCACCGTGAAGTCAAAACGCGGTCTGCTGGAACGGTGGCCCTGACCTCATCTGACTCCCGCCTGGAGAGCATCGTCAAAGCCTTGTGCTCGATGTGCTCGCGGATCTGCTTCTGTTCTGCCGCCTTGAAGGCGGCATGGTGTTCTGGGGGTATCTGGGACCGTGGAAGCTCTTTTTCAAGTTGCTTCTCCTTGGACCTCTCGGTGACGCACTTCTTGAGCATGTTGACGGAGTAGGGCTCGGAAGACCCCTTCTGCTTGCGCCTCATCCTCCGCCCGGGGCCGTAGGATTCGCATTCTCCAGCGGCCTCACCGAGGTCGAGCGGTGCATTCTCCTCGTCGGGGACGTCCATGTCTTGATCACCTGTACGTTCTCCTCCTTCTTCACCGTCGAGTTGAAACTCAAAGGCGTGCTCGTCGACTGGTGCGTCGGCAGGCCTTTCATTGTCCTCGTCGCCGGGCTCCTCCTCGAGACCATCATGTGCCCCTTCGAACACGTTCGGGTCGTCCGGATCCGCAAAGAGCCACTTCTCGAGGTCGGCGCGCGCCATCTTGGTGTCGAAGAGGCCTCCCACTTCCTCTGCCTTGCTTGGTCGCATGTGTTCCTCGGCAACGACGACGAGGTGACACCTTCTGGCAAAGGTGACCCACCAATTGCCACCTTCTCTTCCTAGGATAACTCCCGGTCCTCGCCATCGGCCGCGTTTGATAGCGCTCTTGTCAATCCGGTAGAAGCACACCATCTCACCGACGGTGTACTCACCTCTCTTGACCCTGGCCCTTTGGAGCAGCGATCGTCTGAGCTTCGTGTCCACTTGTGACCGGAAAAAGGCCACACGTGCTGCCGCGCGGATAGCAACTTCTCGCTGTCGGCGGCGGTCGTACGACATGACGTCCAGGATGTGCTCCTCGTCGTTCCCCGCCAGCAAATCTTCAGGTGTTCTCGGATCCTTGCCGTGCACGGCCTGTGTCGGGGAAAATCCATGCCGTCGCCGAAGTTCATTTTTTGCTTGGTTGACCATGGACACCGCAATGTCAATGTCGGCTCCAAAACTCCCGGCCCAAACATCGACGAAGTCCTTCTCGAAGCTCTCAGTGGAATGCTGCAATCACCAGAGGGTGCGCAGATCAAGTTGCAGGTGCAAGGTGGCTGCCCGCAGATGTGTGAACTCGAGGCGTTAGCTCTTATTGCCCGCATCGGAAGCTGGAAAACCTGAGCAACGAGACAATCATGGCCAACGAGTTCTGTGGCTACTTCCGTTCAAGGACGATGCGGGTCAACGCCCCGCTGTCGATGAGGCCATGGTCGTCAACGCCGCAGACAGGGACAACAAGGAGAAGGATCTGCCTAAAGGAGCCGGAGCCATTTCTTTCGGAGCCGGCGTCGCACCGCATGTGAAAGCCTCTCCGACCCGACTACATCAAAATCTCGGACATCCGTCAGTGGCTGATCTCACTCGTCATCTTCGTCTGGCCGGTGCAGACCAACAAGTTCTCAAGGCCGCAAAGTCCCTCAGATGCCAGGTTTGTGAGCGTACCAGGGGGACCGCACGTTCGAGGCCCGCCGTTCTTCCAAGCCTGTTGCACTTCAACCAGGTCGTGAGCGTGGACGTGTTCCACGCATTCGATTGCCACCGCCAACGACATGAATTCATTTCTGTCATTGACCACGCCACAACATACCACCTGGTGAAACGGATTCACGGGCTGATCCTCGTGGTGCACTTGGCCTGCAGGTCTCTCAAATGGGAATTGTGCCAGAGTCGGCTTTTCACATCACCCTCGAGAATCACAAGGCCGCCCAGGTCGATCTGTAGCGATCCCAAGGAAGAAATCCGATCGTGGGCAGGCTCGCTCCCATCTTGGTCGTGTATCCAAAGGACCTTCGGCTTCAGCTCCCTCATCTGGCTCAAGAGGAGGTGGTAGGTATCGATGCAGTAGAGGTCGTTGTAGTCGTAGGCTTCCGCAACGTCCAGGTTCAACTCCGCAGCCTCAGCCGTCTTGTCAAAGCCCCCGATCTCGAGAACGGCAGTGGGATGCGGATCTCTTTGCAGTTCAGCGACCAAGCTCGTAGCCGTCGCTATTGCCAGAGTGAGCATAGTCGTCCATTGAGCGGCACTCTTCCACAGGTTTCGTCGCACACTCTTCTTTGGCCTGACCTGCGCCTCCTTGTCGACCTCGTCATGGGAACGCTCTTGGAGAACTGTCTGGATCTCCGCGCCAACGGGAAACCGTACGATCGTAGTAGATCACGTTGTTCGCGCCCAAGTTGTGGAACTCCTCGGACCCCATAGGCGGTGATCGTCATGCGCTCTCCGGTCCAGTCCTCGACAAAGTGCCTTTTGGACGGGTCGAAGTAGCTCAGTTTCTCCTTTAAATCCAGGAAGCGACCGTTGAGCTTCTTGCCGTTGGAGAGCTGGATCTCGTGAGCTCCTGGGTAGGCCGACTCATCTTTGCAACTGTTGTCCTCCTCGACCCACAACCGTCCTCCAGTGTGGCTTCCGATTGAGACGATCATGTTGTCCTCGATGGACCAGTTGTGAGAGTCGCGGTGAATCGTCGGCTTCGTGTTCAGGGCGATGCTGAGCGTCGACCATCTTCCTTGAGCGCCTAGGTGCTTCAGATAGGAATTGAAATATCTGGTCACCTCGCTGAAGACGTGGGTCCTGTTGGTGATTCCATGAAGCACACTGAACGAGTAGGCGCCGAGGACAATGGTCTTGCCCACCTTCATGGCCTGCCGCTGTGCTTCGCTGCCCCATTTCTCACAGAGCTCGCGGACAATCTCGGCACAGGTGTCGTGGCTGAAGTCCTTGCGGGCTCTGGCTTGTGTGGCCTTTGCTTCGAGACTGGGTACAGAAACCTCGTGCTTCTCGTAGCAGTCGAAAAGTTGAAGGTCTCGAAGCACTTCTTGTCGTAGTTCAGGCGTGTTGTCAGGGAGGTCCAAAATGGCATCCTCGAAAGGCCCTACCACTTCATGAGGTGTGCACTGTGATGCCCATCTCGTGCGCCTCCTTGACCAGCTCGGCCTTGTTCATCTTCCATATCGAGCACGTGCCCTGGGCCATTGAGGTCGCGGAGGAGGGGAATCTGGAGCTTCTTTGCGAAAACTGTCCTGCCGATCCAAATTGCGGGAAGCATCACATCTTCATGAGGGAAGTTCCAGAAATCATGTGTATCGCCCATGGACAAGTGATTCTGGCATGCGACGCTGTTGGTGCTCCGAATACAACCCAACTGTTCAAGCCAGAAAGCAAGCTGATCGGGATGAGGTGCTCTCGACTTTCGGGGATCGAACAAAGACCGCCGAGGAACCACATGGACTCTCACCCAAAACTGAGGGCCTTCAATCCAGAAGTCGTTACAATGCTTCGTACCGGTCCACCATGATATGAAAACCTCGGGGTTAAAGGACTCTTTGAGGATGAGGTTGCGGACGACAGGCTCGATCTTCTTAGGATAGAACACATTGCCGGGAACAAAGGTCTGGATCTTTATGCAACGGACAGGGCTATCGGCGTTGTCACTGGCTACCGAACTGCGCGAAGAAGTCACATGAACCGTGTATTGCTGACGGCTCTCGCGAGGCATGATGATCTCGTCGTCGCCCCACTCCTGAGGGCTCGGAAACACAACCCCTAGCATCTCATGTGGAGCCACCGGAATGGCTGGGTGGCCAGTCGCCGTAACCTGCAGGGGATAGCTCCTGACACCGAGTTCGCTGAAATCGGCTCTGTGTCCAGCTAAGTTGTAGATCATCCCGATGCGGCTAAGCACAGCCCTACTCAGCAGCAGTGGAACACGACACCGATGGACACGGCATAGTTCGCCCGGAACACCTCGCTCGCTCCGAAGCGAAACTCATCACGGCAGGGAAGAAGGCAGGGTGACAATCCCGCGCGCCTGGCTGCCGTGACATACTGCTGCACACAGGCCTGTCCGACCACAGTTTTGTTGCAGGCACAGTCCGTTATGGCGAGCAAGCCTTCGCCGAGCCCAGAGTTCGCAACCTCGTAGGCCACATGCACCACGAAAGCGTCCTTGGTCTTCACCTCGCTCTTGTCGCTCCCACCAGTAGTTGCCCTCGAGGTAGAAGTCGTCGTAGCAGAAGTGTTGGAACCTTGGTTGAGAGGACATTCTTGATCGCGATGCCAATGGCCCCTGCGTTTGCATCCTGCGCAAAACGAACGGCTTTTGGCCAGCTTCAACCTGTCAGCGGAAGACATGCCAGCGGCACGGTCGCTGCCGCGGGCGTCTCCGCCAGAGAAGCCACGAGACTTCACCACATCCTTGTACCTGTTCTTGGCAGCCTCTTGCGCCATGTATGCTTCATGAAGTTCCACCGCGATCTCCTCAGGGATCCCGCCTTCCTCCGTGAACTCGGTCGCGGCCTCGGACTCGTCCTCCTCGTAGATGTCCGCCATGTAGGCACCCTTGATGGCTAGATTCTTCTTGGGGTCGGGGAAGAAGGGTCGCCTAGGAGTCCAGGGAGGTTTGAGGCTTCGTTCATGAAGTAGGGCTGCTCGCTGTAGGCGCTGTGTATTGTACTCATTGTTGACCGAGGCCAGTAGGGCTAATTCTTCTCCATGTGCAAGGGAAAGAGCATTCATGTAAGCCCAAGCTTTGGCAATTTCAGGAAGCCGACAGTCTATCTCCAAAAGTCTAGCGTGTGCACGGTCAAAACAGCTGTTAAACTCCCTCATGCTTTGCCCCTGCTGACGCTTCAATTTCTTGAAGAAGTTCGTGAAAGCTTCGCTGCTCTTGCCGACTTCAACCTCCTGGTAATGCTCGGCCACCCATTTGGTAAAAACCTCGACACCGTTCTCCTGCGCGAGGGACTCGACATTCAGTTCTTCGGACTCAACCCAAGCCCTGCCGCTAAGACTTTGGTATAGCAATAGGGCTCGTTGAGAGGGTGGAGTCTTCGTAACCTCGCACCATGCTGAAACCTGTCGAAGGTACGAACGAGCATCGGCGCCGAGATCCTCGCCGGACTTGTCTGCACTGAAGGTCGGGACCGTCATGCGCTCGCTGATGGCGCTCTGCTTGCGCGAGCCCCAGGATTCCCAGTCGTCTGGCTTCTTGTCGACACGGTCTCCGTTCCGCTGGTCTTGGGTCCAGTCTGGTCGCCAGTGCAATGGTTGTCGTCGCTCCAGTGGTCTCGAGAGCGCCATCCACCGCTGCGATGGCTCCGAGTGGAGTCGTTGTCATCCCATGACCATTGGCCGGCAGAGTGACTCCAGCCGGAATCGCTCTCCTCCCAGCTTTGTCCCCACCAGCCCCTGCGGTTGTGCCGTCGATCTTGAGCCTGATCGCCTTGTCCATCCTGTTCGCCCACGCCACGATCGCCGTCATCATGCGCTTGATCGGCTCCTCGAACATGAGAGCCGTCGTCTTGGCCAGGTGGATCAACTCCCTGCTGCTGCGCGGCACCCTGTTGCCATGCAGCCCATGGATCCACCTGCGGTTGGCCGACGTCGGCCGTGGAGGCATCACTGGTCGCAGCCATGACAGAAAATCAACAAAGGGCCAAAAACCCACCACTAACCAGAACCGAAACAACCACCCAAGACCACTAAGCCCAGGACCGCGGCCTGAGCTCCGCTACCAATATGAAACCGTAAGGACACAACCGAAAACCACCGACCCACCACAACCACAAAACTCAAGAACGGGCGCCCTTTCATCGGCTGACGAACACGTGTGCCTTCGGCGGTTGCGTCTGAAGACTGCGCACACACTGGGATTGACACTAACCCTTGGCCCTGGAAGACAACAGTTGTCAGGAAGGGCTAAAACGGTGGATGCATGGGGGCGGACCATTTCCACATATATATATATATATAGATAGATATATATGTAATGAATATTCATGTTTACTTACTTAATTATTTGCTTGTTTGTTGTATACATATATATATACACACACACAGACATACGTATATACACACCTGCATATCAGCGTTGTTACTATTCTTCGTCTTACACTTACTATTCTTGTTAGTATGAGTCTTACGTCCCTTCTCTGATTCATTCTTCTTTCATCATATATTGTATATTTGTATTGTTACTACTGTTGCTAGTACTATTGACTATTATGACTATTTTTGTGATTCTGCTACTGGTCCCGTCATGGCTCGTGGTGCCTGGGCGGTCCGAATCTCAGGCGACCCTTTGGGTCGGGCACTGCAGCGTTGATGTGCACCGGCTGGTAGTTGTCGTCCTAAGATGTCGGACTGTAAACCCTAAACCCTAAACCGTTGCTTTTGGGTGTTGCGCTGTTGGAATGGCGGCCTTGCAGAGCCATCAGAGAAACTCTCCGGGCCAAGTTGCAAAGTAGACAAAGCCACCCACAGTAAGGAAAGCCACATCAGGGTCCATGCCAGCTCCCGGCTTCGGAAGCTCCGATGTGGATGACTTCCAGCTGCGGACCAAAGAGAAGGGATAGCCTCACGCAACGTCTCCTACTCAGGTCTCCAAGGCCCGGATGCCCGCGGCTCCCCCCAAGTCGATTCGCCGAGCGGCTCCACGCGAAGTACTGCCCTGCTGCAGGGATCTTCAGGCGTCTTCGTTCCGCCTCCGGAATGTTCAGTTCCGCAATCGCCGACCTCGTTGTCACAAAAGGAACCCATGAAGACGTCAGAGGAAAAAACACCAAAAACAAGGCTTGTCTTTTGTTTCGGCCCGAGCTGCATGCAAGAAGTCGCAGCTTTGTGAGGCTTCAACGACTTGCAGAACTCGCTCATCGGCGAGGAATCCTTGAGAGCGACAGAGAGCATCCGATGGGGGGGCCGTCTATGCCCTCTTGGCGGCCGGGCAGCGGGGCACTTGAGGCGGGAGAGGTCGCATTCGAAGCTTCTCGGCTGCTGGAACCAGCTGTCAAAGTGGCCTTTGAAGACGGTCAAGTGCCCGGGCTGCACGTACTTCGTCGGAACGCAGTGGAAGTTGGGAAGCGCCTGGGGCAGAGGCCACACTAGTGAGCAAGAGAAGCCTCAACAAAAAGCCTCAAAAAAAACCGCCGGCCCCCGGCCTTTGGGAAAGCTCCTACCGCCGAGGGCTCCCCGGAGACCACCATGGGGAAGTAGATGCAGCTCTCGAGCTTGCCCTTGTCGGCATGCTTCTTGCACAAATCGTGGAACTGCTCGGGCCCCAGCTCCCCGTCCATCAAAGTGGCGCTGCCAAGCAAGGAGACAGGGTCCAAGGTCGGGAAGATGCTGCGGAGGCCACGGCGGAAGAGAGGATCGTTGATGGCGACCACGAGCTCCGTCATGGAGATGGTGCCGTCATCATTCATGTCGAGCATGTGAAAGAGATGCCGGATCTTGGACATCACGTCCTGCTCCAGGAACTCCATCAGCAGCTTCTCCGACAAGAAGTGGACCGAGCCCTCCTCGATGGCCGTGGCCACCTTATAAGGCACTCTCGCCATGGAGAAAGCCACGGAAAAGCGCACGCCTGGCCTCGTCGTTGCTGGACACCGCATACTCGTAGCGAAAGCCCTGCACGTGACTCCTTGGTCCATGAAAACCGAGAGAGGCCGGAAGGGAGCGGTGCCTGAGAGCCATGGCCGAAGCACTACGATGTGTCAAATTCGGCGAAAATCCCAATTCCAAGAGTTTCGCTAGCTCCTACGACGGCTTCACCGAGGCACAGCAAGTACTGCGTCGCATCATCCGCGTTCTTCAGCTTGGCTTTCACGAAGAATTGCTTGCCTGGAGAGGCACCGGGGGTGAAGCGCACAGGTCCCGCACATCTGAGGAGACGTGGCGCGCCTTCTTTGGTTGGCTTCGTGAAGCGACCCACCAGCGGATCACAGCCGGGTGTGATGCCGGGGCCGACGGAGTAGTCGAAGGCCTGGTCCTGTCAGCGCGGTCTGGCAGCAGCAGGCGAGAAGGGCTTCAAAAGCCTCCCCCCCGATTGGAGTATGAAAGCACTATAAGCCAAGTCAGCCTTGTCCGTCTGCCCGTGCACGAACCAAGCGTGGCCACGGTACTCGATGCTGCAGGCCGCAGTCCCCCGGTTGTCGCCCTGGAAGAAGCGGTTGGCTTTCACGTCACCTGAGCCAAGGGGACAGCTGGGGGAATCGGCCCTTCTCTGGCTGAAGGGGCGAGTCCGACAAAAACCGTCTTTTGCTGGCCGTCGTGACTGAAGGAGGTGTCGCCCATGATCAAGGTCACCCCGTCGTGCATGATCACCGTGGGAGCGTTGCCGTGCGGGGTGTGCCCCACCACCACGAACTTCACGCCGTACTGCTTCAAGTACTCCACCATGTTGTCCGGCAAGGGAAGGGGCATGCTCTGCTCCGTCAAATACCTAGAGATCCAAAGTAGAGAAAAGGGAGAGAAAGAGAGAGGGAGAGAGATCTCTCCGGAGGGAAGAGACGAAGAGCGGGCTTATAGGGCCCCCCTAGGCCCTGCCTGCAGTAGATGACGGTGGGATACCGGGTGCCCGGGGTGCCGTAGGCGATCAGCTCGGAGGCCCCGCGCTGGGACCAGGACCTGCAAACGTCCGACGAAATCCGGTCCGACGAGGACTCATGCGGCCTTTTCTTTTGTGCGGAGTTGGCTATTTGGGCCAGGCGGCTCGAAGGTCGAGACTTTCGGCGGCACTTCCCACTGCGGACGATGCTGCCAGTCCCTGATAAAGCAGATGTCCTACTGGGCTGCGCCCGATCTCTCGCATTGCCGAATCGCGTAAGAGGCGCGGCGCGTGCGGCGAAACGCGCCTGATCTCGGAGGCTGCCCAGCTGTTGATCTTCGCGATCCACGTCCTGGGTTGAGGCTCTGCTCTTCCACCGCGCACAAAAAAAAACCAGAGCTTTCTGCTACCCAGGTGGCTCCAGACACTCCTCTCGCTGTTCCTGCCAGGGGCGGAAAGAATTTGAGCTGCCATGCCGGATCAAGCGAGCCCGTGGCAGAGAGAAGGTAGGGGGTTAGAATGACGCTTAAGCTCCACTTTAAGAAGTTGGTGTGACCAGTAACTGAGCTCCAGAGTATCGGCGATGTTGAATCCAATGCTGGTCCTTCGTATACGGCCCTCAGGGCGACTCGATAGGACGTTGTGTGCCTATTTTTTCTGCGCATCCAGGTTAGAGGCCGTGACACATTTTGACATGCCATGCAGCAACCCCTTCCGCACACAGCGCAAACCTGGGGGGACCCCCCTCTCCTCTCCAGGGACCACACCCAAGCTCCATGCTGTATTCTCATCATCTGCTCCTGTGAACAGGAATCGCTCTTTCCTATGCTTTGGGGGGAACTGCATAAGACAACGGCCCTCGCCTAGGACTTGATCCGGCGGGAACTGGTTGCCAATGATCTGAGGGAGATGCGAGAGAACTGATGACAGAGATGTTTCTGTCTGCTGCGCTCTTCTTCATCGAGACCTGGCCATGAACGAAGAGCGTCCCGTCGATCAGGAGAGCGAGCTGCCCGAGGTTTAAGAATTTCCTGGACGTGTCTGCATCTCTGACATCTCCCGTGGGGAAGCCCGCGCCAGCCTCATCACACCACCCGGAGCGACACTGCGCTCGTAGCTCTCGACGACATCCTCCATGGCACAACAGCAAGGCGATGCTTCATGGAAGGCCCGACTTGTGAAGCGCAAAGGCTCTCTCGCAGGGCTTGGTTATCTTGCATTGTCCAGGCCTCGTCCGTGACTTCCTCCTTGCGCACGTTCAGCAAGTGGGCTAGTTCCTGCCGCTGAAGGGCAAAAGAGATCTAAGGAAGATGCAGTCGAAAGTCTGCGCCCCGGATTAGATTTGGAAGCTGATCCTCTTTTTGCCACAGCCACATGATGGGGCATGATATTTCCCACCATGGGAGCATCCACGTAAAAATTTTGAAACGCCCTTTTTTGAACCGCTCCGGCGGCTCCCCTGGGTTAGGTAAATCCGCCCAAACAACACACACACACACACATCTGCGCTGAGAACCCTGCGGTCTCCCGAGAGTTTCTGTCCTTCCTTTCAAGATGCATCTTGGAGTCTTTTTGCAACCAACAACTCCACCAAGAGGGCTTGGGATTTTGGTTAAGGATCCTGGGGCACCTTGGGTGCGAGAATCAACCGAAGGCATATGCCAGAAACAGGCAGCGTTCGGCTCATCGAACAACATCTAAGGCAGACTCCAAGACAAGACAAAAACAACAGGCCGGAGAAGTCCGATGCACGGCATGACACTCAGCACTTGCTGGGTCGCTCATCACGGAGAAAAAATCGAGACCTCTGGGCCCAATCCTCAAGGTTGCAGAGAGCACAACCGCTGTTCCCCGCCTCTCGTCTGAACTCGAAGTCCCCGACGGATCCCATGTCGCAGTCCAGCATGTACCGCAGCCTCAGAAGATGCAGTTGCCGTTTGCCCCCCCCTTGTGGAACGAAAGCGACCCCTTTGCTGTGGGCGCCCAGGCTTGTTGGCTTTGGTGTTCCGGTTCTGAATCATCCTCTCCGTCACTTCATCCTGAAGCAGAGACTCTGCGAAGGTTTCTCTCACCAGGAAGAGTCCGACCCCCTGCCTCGTTCAAGCCCTCCTCCTGTGCGACCGTTCTCCTCAGATACTCCCAGTGTGTGGGACCTCAAGCGACTCGAGCGCTGACGCAGTGAGCAACAGCCGATCCAAACTGGGATCCAAGCAGTTCCCGGGGAGACGGGACTGCCAGAAGGCTCGAGGCACCTGCCGAAGGCTGCTTCTGCCATCTGGGCGCGAGCGGCTTTGGTTCGCCCCCCACCTCTTTGATGCGCTTCAGCTCGGAGGGGGTCAGCTCCGAAGTCCATCTCATCTTGTTCAAGTCCTCAACTTCAAGAGCCGCTTAGAAGGAGAACGCCCTACGGGAGCCCTCTTGTCGCCAGGCTGCTCGATTGCCCAGGATCAGGAAAACTCTCGCGGGGTATTTCCTCCGCAAGTCGCGATCCGAGAGGTGCTTCTGCTTGGCTTCAGTGCCAGCCGTGGCGCCTCTTCAGCATCACCATGGCCTCCAAGAAGCGCAGTGTCCCAGGGCCTTCCAACTCGCACAGCGTTCGCACAGCGTTGGGGGGCAGGGGATGGGTCACGGAAGGGGGCCTTTGTCGCAGGCATCCCCGCCGAAGACGAAGAGCCAGCCGTCAGCCAGCTCCAGCTCCTGGCAAAAAATCGCCCTGCGCAGAGAGCGGACGCTCCTCTCGTCTTGTCTTGACTGGCTATGTCATTCTCTGTTTCAGCGTGCATCTTACGCAGGCTGTCCAGCTCTTGCGAGGTGCGAGCCTTGCGCCCGTCCTCAGCAACAGCTAGTGACAGCTGCCGAAGAGCTCATACCCCTTCGTGCAGTCCAAGCTGCATTGCCCGGCAGCTTGAACTTAACCCCGTCACAGAGCTCCACAAAGTTGCAGAAGAAGTCCCAATGGCCCTCCACGTCACAAACCTCAGAGTCCCATGCAGAAGCGCGGCACGACCACATTATGATGCCGTGAGTTCTTCAAGTCTTCAACTTGGCTCCGGCACGTAGGCTATCCGCTGAGCTTTCCGGATGGAGTTTCGAGTGGCCTGACAATGCAAGTGTCGAAATCTGAAACTTGACTGGGTTTAGGGTTTAGGGTTTAGGGCACAACAACGCCGCAGACGTTGCAACGCCTGGGAATTGGTGGCAATGCTGGCGGCACGCCCGCAAGCCGTCCCCATGGGCGATAAACTGACAACACATAGGCCAGAAAGGACCTATTCGACTTATTCCATGGAAGACGCCGCTACTGGGTCAGGGAGCACTCTTGCTAGTGGGTCAGGCCACGGTGGGCTGGGGCTCAAGCGTTGCGACTGTCTCCTGGGTCAAGCTTGGGGACTGGGAGGGGGCAAAGAGGCTTTGCATTGTTTTACTTGTCGGCTATGCCTGTATGAACCCGGCTTGGCTGATCTGGATGACCCTTGCTGAATGCCCCTAATCCAAATTATCCTAAAATGGCTGCAAGGAGTGTTTCGTGCTGAGACAGCGAAACAGATTGCGAAACCTCTCCCATCTTCAAAAAGGTAGCCGCCTCTGCCAGCTGCCCCCGGTGGCCTCCGAACTTTAAGCCACCGACGGGCGATTGCGATGGCGCAACGGGCACTCTTTTCTGCGGGGCTCCGCAAAGTGTGCTCTGGCCACGTAGAGGCCGAATTTCCGGCACTCTCGGAATCCGTTTGCAAGGTCGCAAGAGCTGGCGCTTCCGCTTCGCGGACTCGGGCTGCTCGCTCAGCCTCTTCCAGCTCGCTGCCTTGAAGCCGCGGAGGTGCGCAAAAAGCCCCAATCAGGCTCTCCTCGTCTGCGCTTTCTGAGGCCGGCTCTCAGTGAGGCACGATCGCTGAGGCCCCTGCAGCGCGACAAAAAGCTCTTGCTGCACAACCCCCAAACAGCCGAAGCCAAGCCAGTGGGACACGGTCCAAAGATCCAGACTTCCCAGCCTGGTGCAAAATACACGGTGAACACCGCGGAATCGATGCTTCTGCTTGGTTCGGGCTCCGACTGACCAGTCTCAACCAATCGCTCCAGGGCATGGATGCTGTCCTCCCAAGACCGCGAACTACCGCTCTTGCAAGAGACTGAGACGACCTATCGCCTCCTCCAGCGGGTTGCCAGCCAGGCGTATGCAGCTCTTCTTCGAGACCAGGGCCTCAGACCAGGACCGGGCGAGCGCGCTGTGCCGCGAACGCGCGGCTCGCGTGAGGGAGGGGCCTCCGCGAGAGCCGTCGCACCCGTGATGGCGTTCTGCTCCAGCCCTGTCGCCGCAGGGACGTGCCCAGCTCTGTAAGTTCACCCCGCGATTGCACGCAGCGCGCCCAGGTCCATGAGAGCCGTGTTCTGCTTCATCGCAGCAGCCAAGACAGCCTCGGCTCCGAATCTACGTTCGCCGTCGGCTCCCGCCTGCTCTTTGCAAGGACGCAGGCTGCACCGCGGTCGCCGATGGAGTTCCAGCCTTGGCTCTGCGCTCGGCTCCTCCGGCTCTGTGAAAGCTCCTCCTGAGCTCCCAGACCCAGGTCCAGCTTCTGCAGCGTGGCATTCCGAGGCAGCATCGCGGCCTCCCGGATATGAGGGCGGGGTCCCCTCCTCTTCTCTTTGCGGTGTGCTCTCTTCTCATTCTCGTCCCACCGTCGCCGCAGCTCCCCGATCGCCGAAGGAATTGCAGAAGAGGTCCAGGCCTCGAAAAAGAGCTCAGCCCACTTAAGCGGCTTTCTTGTCTGCCATGCACAAGGATTCTGGGGTTCCGCTTGTCCTGTTTCTTCACTACTTACGGCCAGTTCCTTGTCCTTTGTCTTGCCGTCCAAAAATGCAAGAACAGACAGAGCCACATGGAAACCGACTGACCGAAGGCACCCTTGCCGAGGAGCTGAGCTAAGGCAGCCGCATCGCAGGCTGCTGCACTGAACGGCAGTTGCAAGTGCCTCATATGGGGACGGCTGGCACTTGAGTGCGTGTGCAAAAAAGGAAAACCAATGAATCCAGAAGTTAAAACAAATAAATCCTGACTTAATGGTTGGGTTTTGACCTACCTTGGACCCTCCAATGACACAATTACATCTGGTTTTAATTCTTTTTCCGTGCATTCGACCGATAGACAATTAAATCCTGAGTTTATTGTCCTTCTCCTGCGAGACTTATGCCAGTTGGTACCTATTTGCCCCATTAATCATGATTTAATGTGACATTTCGCATCCTTATCTGTAAACACAAGGAATGTAGTTTGCACTTATCAGCCCCATTAAATCTTGATTTAGTCTGGTCTTTGGGCAT